AGAGACCAACACTTGTACCTTAGGTGGGTGGTCATTAGCTTTAAGATGCTAGTTGCTACTCACCAATGAGAAAACATGGCAGCCTCTTTGTGAATTCTGTTATGCTAATCAACCTTGGAGGGGCAGAATTTTTAAGAACATGGATATTTTGGGTCACAATACTTCTTTAAGGAGTTGCTGGGAGAAGCTAATTCTAGAAGTAGTGTCTGTTATTTTTCACAAGCAAAATTTGTGATAGCAAGGCTAGTAGAATACAGGAGGGTCTTTCTACAGAAAAGATAGGATATTACATAGCTAAATGCTATTGCTATATTTCAGGCTGAGTTCGTTTATAAACTCAGTATATTATTTTATGTCAGAGCTCAGATTTAAGTATAATAATTCCCAGCAACACAGTAGGAGTTTTTATTCACATGTAATTCTAAGTATTATAACAATGGCGAAGTAAGCCACCTTCACTTTCCCTCTAATGGTCATCCATCTATCCACCCAGCCATCCCTCTATGCATTCTCCATGCATCTATCCACACATACTTACATATAAGCAGTCATCCATCCCTCCGTCCATCCACATAATCATCCATCCATCCTCACAATTGTCTGTTCATTGAGGGTACTTTTAATGAGAGCCTATTATCTGGTACATCCTCTTTTAAACACTGGAGATTAAAATGAATGAGTTAGAATTCCTGTACTCAGAGATGTCCCTGTTCTCAGACATTGCATAGTCTTGTGGTGATAATAGCTTTTCAAACAAATAAGTATCCTTAATGTCCTTAATTTCTTCAGTCCTAAGGGACTCCTATACTCTTTAATGGCCAATTAACCAAAGTCCACATCTCTATCATGTTTGATCACATAATGAGCTTCTTGCTGAATTCTCATTCTTAAAGATTTTCTAGAGCCCCCCAAGGAAAACTCCGCTGTGCCACAAGCCTATCTTGCTTGTTGCTCATCAGTTCCATGGTCTTCCTCCCACTGTTCCTCTTCATCCCCTAATCAGTTGGCGACTTCAGACTTGCACCTTCGCTTTCTGTGACAGAGCTTGCTCAGCTCAAGCTATATGCAAGTCCCCCAAGGATTAGGTCCCGAATTATAGCCAAGACTTGGAGATTATCTTTATAGAAAATGTTCCAAAGATTCGAGATAACTGAGTAGTTTGTGGATAACATTTTGCCATGCTTAATAAGCTCTCCATGATGTGGTGACCTCCCTGACACCATCTTCTGCCATCCAACTCTTTTGCAAACACACATACCCTTTTTCTGACCTTCAAGCAATGCATGTTTTATCTTTCCTTGGGGCCTTTGTCCATGCTTATCACTCTTTCTGGAAAGTCATTTCCTTGACGTTTCATAGGTTCACTCTCCTTGTGCACTCTAAATGTTACTTACTCAAAGATGAGCTTTCCACCCCATCATCATCCATCTAAGACTCTAGTTTTCATTCCTTTATGACATTATCATAGTTCATGGCTATTTTACTTATGTTTGTTTATTTCTTTTTTGTCTGTTTATTCCACTGAAAAGAATGCTTCTTGATGGTGAAGATCAGGTCAATCCTTACCATCTCCCCATTATTTCCCTGATACCCTAACTGGGTCTGGAACAGAGCAGAGTTTAGTCAATGTTTATTGAATACATTAAAAGAAAGAAAACTTTCAGAGTGTGTGTAAAGTCCGGGTTGATTAGAGAAACAAATCAATTGACACTCATGTGTTAGTCCAGTTAGACTAGAGAAACAAATCCATAGAAACATATATGTGTATAAGAAAAAGGTTCATATACAAAAGCAGTTGAATATTGAAAACACATCCCAACCCAGATCAGATCAAGTCCCATATGTCTGATACCAATCTATGAAGTCCTCTTCAGACTCACGAAACACATAACAATGACACCGAATGCAGGATGATCAGAGGCCAGTGGGTGGAAAGTCTTTGAATCCAGTGGCATTGTAAGTATCTGGTGCTGGCAGGGTCTCCTCGTGGCTTTTCCAGTTCCCAGGGCTGCATCAGGGTAGGTCCATGTGGCTTCTCCTCAGGGATGTCTCCTCAGGAAGTCAGCTTTGCCAGTAGAGTATCTTGCAGGGATCAGGCCAAGAGAGAGAAGATTCTCCCACCTCCAAGGAAGAAATACCATATTTCCAGAATTCTCAGGAGAAAGCCATGCCTACACAGATGCCTCATTGACTATGATCCAATTGACAGACTGGATTCTACCCCTTCACTCTTAATCCCCCCTAAGTCCCAAATTTATACCAGATTATGTAAGTACCACAACTCATATATGTATGAGAGCATTTTATATTAAAGAGTAATTTTATATTAAGAAAACATACCAGGCGAGTCCAGGTCAAGTCCATAAGTCTGATATTAGCCTATATGTCTGATCCCAAACTATAAATTCTTCTTCAGACTCACACAACCCATGCAATGATGCCGAATGCAGGAAGATCACAGGCCTGTGGGTGGAAAGTCTTGTGGTTCCTGTGGCGGTGGAAGCATCTCCAGGGCTCTGGATGCCATCAGTGTGGCTCCATGTGGCTTGTCAATAGGAAGGTGTAGCAGAAAGTGTGCCTCCCACATCCAGGGAGGAAGACAGGAATTCCCAGAATCCTCAGGAACAGGCCATGTCCACAAGGAGGCATCAATCAGACTGTGACCTAATTAACAGACTAGACTCCACCCCTTTGCTCAAGTTGACAGGAAATTAGATAACTGCCACAGAGAGAGACTTTTAAACCATCATCCATGGTGTCACTCAGTGGTTCTCTCTTATCCCAGTCCTCGGCCACTAGATTGAAGGGGAGAATCTCCCTCCCCTTACAGGAAAGCTATGAACCACTTACCCTTGGTAACAACCCCAAACATCTTCTAATACCCAGCAAAAGAAAGAAAGAGACCATTTCCTTTTTCTCTCAGGTCCCTCTTCAACCTCAGAATCATCTGCCAAGACTTGGCTCTGACCAACTGTCCTTTGCATCATTCTTCAGAGCAATTTACATGTCTTAATCTTATACTTTGGGCTTAAAAATAATTTTGCTTGAAACATCATAGTCTTTCTCAAAAAAAAAATTCTAAATCACCTTGGAATCTCAAAATGAGATGCTATCTTCACGTTAATATATCAAGTTTCCAAAAATATGGGGCTCCAACTTGGCAGTTATTGTCCTGTCCACTCAGTCATGACATTATTACTGAAGGCTCCCTCCTGCTGGCACAAATGATGACTATACTCCGACACTCACTGAAAAGTCCGGGGCTTGCATCCACCCAGAAGGGCCTGCCCATCTGAAGCTCAGCCATGGAAGACCTATGGGTCACAGTTCCCTTCTGACCCAATAGGAACACCAGGAGTTGGCATCAGCCCCAGGGCAACTTACTTTGCTGTGTCAGGAAATCTCTCTGAGTAGGTAGTCCTTGGATGTGCAAAGTACTCTGGGGATTTCGCATGCCACGTGAGTGAGACTCCAGTAACGTGTCCCAGATGAGTCAACCTCTGATCTTGTTCCTCAAGAATAGCCACACAGATAAGAAAGGGCAAGGGTGTTTCAGGGCTAGCATATCCTCAGGAGGTAGATGTGTCTTAATATTTCAGAGGAAAGAAAATGTTAGGGGATTGCCCACTGTAGAAAATACCTGCGCTGTGTTCTGGTGGTGCCGTTGGGTAAGTGTTGAGCTGTTAACTGAAAAGTCCAAAGTTTAAACCCATCATCAATTCCAATGGAGAAAGAAGAGGCT